GTCTTTATTTTACAGTTAAAATAAATGTTTATCAAATAAAGTTTAATGTTACAACTAACCGTGGATCCCTTAAAGTTTGTGAGTTAGGACAGATTTAAAACATTGGAACAAGTCCCAATTTACAACTGGTTCTTTGCCGAGTTTCTGACATGTCAACGTGAAACGAGTTTAGGAGCTTTATTTTCTGCTGCTTTGTTTTATAGATGAGGCTAAGTGGTTTACTAAAGTAACGTTCCTCTGAAAATGTTCAAGTGGAGCTGAAAATGAATGAAAAATCAACTAAAGAAAAAAACAAAACAAAAAGCAGTGAAAAACCTTGAAAGGGACCTTGTTCAAAAGCACTGCAATAGATCAAAACAAGAGATGACTTGTAACGTTTGCACAGTACTATAATTTGTAGACATTTTATATCCATTTTACATTTATACCTGCAACAAACAGTTTCAGTAACAACATCCTACATATGTGAATCAGACCTGGTGTCACACTGCTGGCATGGCAAGTGGTTTGTCAACCAGATGTGGKCCAGGTCTGGCAATGATAGSCCTATTTTTAAGATGACACGCCACAACTGGCCCATGCATGGGTCACCGAAGCTACATCTAGGCCACCACAGAGCCGTCATTCTTTGCAGTATCTGAGCCGACTGTGTGCGCTAATGGGGCTGGTCTTTTCTAGACCAGCGTAATGCTTCAAGCCCTGAACTGCACAGTTTCCTCCCAACATCCCACATCATGATCTTCTGAATGACAAAGTACCTCATTTATCCAGTATTATAGTACAACAATAATATATTATTTATCCGGTATTAGTGCTTGATTTATCCTGAATCAAGGTGGGCAGAAGTCTGTTTCAGGTGACACTAGGGACAACGAGTTATCAGACGACTGCTGCCTCTTCAAACACAAACTCTCAGCTAGCATATCTTGATAAATCAGGGCAGYGCAGTAGCATGGCGGATTAGCACTGTTGCCTTGCATCAGAAAATAAACAAATATATAAATAAATCCTGGCTCYGAGTCTTGGCGGCTGGAGGCTCTCTGCCTCGAGAACACGCAAACCCTGGAGAGTAGTCCAGTCCAGTTTATATCATTTAAAGCTTATTAACGAGGTCAAGCTTTATCTTCCACATGACTCCCTTGAGAGGGTTATTCATGCTTTTATCTTCTCTAGACTGGATTACTGCATCTCTCTTTATAGTGGAATAGACCAGTCTCTCATCCGCTGTTTTCAGCTGGTCCAAAACTCAGCCGCCCACTACATGACGATGTGAGCACATTGCCCTTACATTGCATTCAGCTGGCTGCTTGTATCTTTTAATATCTTTTTTCCTTTTCCTTTCTTCTCTTGGTTTTTAGAAGTTTAAATTGTCTGGCACCCCTTTWTCTTTATGAGCTTCTATCATCCTGGTAGCGCTCTGAGATCTGAAAATCAGATGCTCTTGGTGCTTTCCTGCATGACTTGTGTCTAGAGGAGGACAGAACCTTCTCAGCTGGAGCTCCTAAACTCTGGAACAGTCTTTTTGTGAGGTCTGCCAGAACCATTAAAGAATTTAARCACGCAGAAACACCGATTGCCGCACATTTCTGTTTGGTTAACAAGATGGAAAGCAAAAAAGATTTTGCTCACCTGTTTTCTGGCGCCCAGAACGTACGTCGTTACAGCGCTTCCACCGCAAGGCCTAGTAGCCGAAACACCAGAACAGCTCGCCACTCGACTTTCAGTCAGACGTCGGGGTCACCAAAACTGTAAGAAAAATTCGTATTCAATAAACTGAAGTCGACATTAAAACCACCATTGTTAAATAAAATGATTTGTAGAAGGAATCAAACCATACAACACCAGAATTCTAGATCTGAGTGAGGTTTATTGTCACTTGAGTTGACAGGAAACCAACACTGGCGAAAAACCAGGAAGTTCATCAATTTATACATGTTCTTCAATGCCTGCGTTCGCCCCCTACTGACCTACGGCTGAATCACAGGCATTATGACAAAATTCTCATCTAATGTCCTCACAACGTTTGATTATGTGTTGTTATAATTCGGACATGTAACTAATCTATATCAATCAAAACATAATAGATTAAACATTGTCAACATTATAAAAAGGAAAACCTAAAAATATAGTATTGTGCTTTTAACATCAGTACTAACCTCTAATAACTATAAATTTCTTCATCTCTTTTAAAAATCATTTTGTGGCTCTGGCTTTTAACTCCAGAGAGCACATGCAGTAGGTCAGTCCATTTCTTTATTTATTTACTACAGGATTTTATCATTGTATTTTTATTTACAAGTTTAGCACTTTGGTTGCCTTGTGGTGTGTAAAGTGGTATATAAATACAGTTTTGATTGATTGGTTGATAGAGTGGGTTGTCTGAGAGTACTCCTGCTTCCTCCCACTGTCTAAAAACAAGCATTTCAGTTTAATTTGTAAATTAGGCCTAAGTAAGAGTGTTGAGCATGAATGATTGTCTTGTTTGTCTTTTTGTGATGGACTGACAACCTGTGTAGGGTGTACCCCTCCTCTCATCTAGTGATCTCTGGAAATAGACGCCATCTTCCTGCAACTTTTTCCATGACCAAGTAAAGAAAATGCATGAACAAATCATGACCCAAAATATAAATGTCACTTGGCTACAGAGATGATGATGATGATGCTGGAATTGTATCATTTATCAGTGTGCATCCTTTAGAAGAACTGATAATATTCAAGAGGTTATGTTTAGCTTTCACTACATGTTTTTGTTGTTGAAAATGCAGCTTTTGTTAAAGTAATTTAGAGTTTTGCTATCTTTCAGTTAACACGCGCCCTCTGTAACTGAAGAAAAATCAGATATGCAAAGCAAAGAGACTTATTCAGACTACTGTGTGATTAACTTGTGCTGTCTAGTGCAGCAACAGAGACTGCAGCATGTTTTGGAGCGTGTGATCCTTTACTTCTGTGTTGTGTCGAGAGGCTGCTTTTATGCACAATCTGACAGGAGCTGTGAGGATGTGATGCAATTTTCTGCTGTGCCACTTTGTTGCACACAGCCCGCATTCAGGAATCCAGTGATCACACCAGAGGAAAAAAAAGGGGGTGAAAAAGAGGGATGTTTTTCAGGCTGTCTGAGCTTGTCTGATTATATCAGCCACAGTGATCTGCACCTTTAGCAGCATCAAACTCTCGGATTCCAGGATGGATGGTGTTTGAGACCCATTTGTCTCTCTCTGTCTGTTTTCCCAGGCCTCCCCGGCTGCCTTGGCTAAGAGCGTTCTAGCTGAAGTCCCAAACCAGGTGGTGGATTACTACAACGCGAAAGGAATCAAACCCAAGTGTATATCGGACTACGAGTCCTCGAGAACCTTCAGCCCCTGACGATGTACTAAACACACATACATGCTCATATTCAAATTCTGTCAAATTAAAAATCAGCTGTTGTACATAAACACATCCAAAAGCACAAGCAGACATGAACAAACATGTATACACAACAATACAACACGAACAAACATGTATACACAACAATACAACATACAGTAGTCTAGCTCAGAGAATTAGCTCGTTATGGTGAAACAGTTTCAACTACTTCATTGATGACTATTGCATGTTTGGCCTCAAAGGCATCACCAGGGAAATTATTACTATCTACTGTATATTGAAAAGCTATTTGTAGAAATAAAAGAGTTTTCCAATCAGCATGCAGACTCTGATTATAGCACACTGAAATAAAATGGCATTTCTACCTTATTTAAATAACTAGCAAGTGCATAGATCAAAAGGTCTATGTAGGGGGGGAAAGGCTTAAACATGAACCTGCATAACCCCAAAATGCTTTGAATTAGCAWTGCAAATGTTATTTATGGGACTGGTGGCATTCCAGTTGGTATACTGCATGAATGCATGAATAATTCAGCTCCTACTAATACCCAATCTCAAGTAGCCGCTTGCTAGTTATGAAATAAAGTATCTGTCATTTTTGTGAAAGAAGGGATACTTTGGAATGCTTTGGGTTCTCTTTTTTAACGGATTTGCTTGTGATTTTTGCTAAATGGAAACAAATAACTAATGAATAATTGTAACAATTTCTTAATAACCCTCCTACATTGTAAAGAGTTTTCCAGATGGTAGACACGTGTGTGTGTGTGTGGTAGAGACTCATTTGTGAGCTGAAAAGTGTTTCTTTTCTCCTGTATTCTGCATGTTGATAATATTAGTAATAATAAAGATATACTTTGTTTTTCTCAGTTTTGTGTGATTGTTTTTGTGYTACCCAGCTTTGTTAATATTGAGTTCCTAAATATTTCCAAACAGCCAGACTTTGCAGTGTTGTCTTTCCTGCAGAAACAGAAAGAAAACCTCAAGTAATATAGCTGTAAAGAGATAGTTCAGACTTTTTAAGGTGGRGTTAAGTTGGTAGATATCTTACCTGAACGAGTGGGACCAAGACCAAAGAGAACTGCTACCATCTTGAAACAGCTCCAATCTCAAAAATCCTCTAGCAGACCATGTGAATACTGTTTTAAAATCTTTATACTGCTTTAAATTTAACACACATTTATTTAAAAAGAAATCTAAGAATGAACAAAATGAGCAGCAGCTAGCTGTAGCACTTCTGGTGTAGTTCAAGCAGGAGTGTCACAATGTTTCTG